GTGACAGAACTTACATACTACTCTCTTAGAGGTAGAAAAATATGAAGAAGGATTAGACTTGAATAACAATAATCACCACAACAAAAAACAGTGGCTGAGAAACTACAGGGTTCATTCATCCCAGCAATAACATTCACTAAGAGTCTACCATAATACAGAGTGGATTTCAATAAAATGTTGACAGCAATTCTCACTGCTTTGGTGGAACTAACAGACCAGTCAAGGAAACATATTACTAGAAAAGTAACGAAATATTCTTTGTGGAATTGTTCTGAACACTCAAACACAGAACTAGGGTTTCTCCCTAGAGAAAGGGGAAAAAGTGCTATAGCAAAGGCCAAATCAAAATTTAGAAATAAACAGTGGGGCCGGGCTGTTGGTGTAGTGGTTAAGTTCACATGCTCCACTTTGATGGCCTGGGTTTCATGGGTTTGGATCCTGGGAGCGGACACACACCGTTTATCAAGCCATGCTCTGGTGGTGTCCCACATACAAAATAGAGGAAGACTGGCACAGATGTTAGTTCAGTGCCAATCTTCCTCACCAAAAAAGAAAAAGGTTTAGAAATAAACAGAATAAATGGCTCTACAAATATGAAAGAGTCCAGGAGGATGAAAATTTCCCACTCTGGTCAAGAACATTAAAAATAGAGTAATAAATATTCTGCACACATAAATTTTATAATCTCACAAGAAAAGTAATTATGGCAAGACATTTTTTCCTCCAAATGAAGAATCAAGTTTTAGACAAATGTATGTATCTACATGTTTACTAATTAGGTCAATATCCACATTTTTATGCCTACTAATTACTAGCAAATTTTATATTTGTTAAATCTACACAGTGAATTCTAACTCTTCTTACTTACCCTCTCCAGATTTAATCATAGTCAGGACAGGAGGAGAGAATCACCTACATCTGGCTGTTTTTACTTCTCCCTGGTTTTAGGACCAGCAACAGGAGAAACAGCCAGGCCATGTGACTGTGGACACATGATTCTATCCTGAGTATTTCCTGACCAAAGTTGCACAGTTTCTGAACATAAACAGAGGGTTGGCCTGTGACACACTCATTACCACCACAGAAGACAGAATTCCAACTCACTTCCTTGCTTTTTACCCATACGAGATGCATGGAAACTCCTTGTAAATTCTGTTTAATCCTTAGGCAAACTGGTCCTTCAACATCAGAATTATAATTTTACTTTAGAATTTCTTTTACTTAAGATATTGCCTTAATGGCAAAAAATAATCTCTGATTTCTAATTGTGAAATAATTTAGAATCCAGGTTATTAACCAAATTATAGAAAACTGGAGGTATAATCAACTAGAATCGTTTCATTTGTTCATTTGCTCATTGTCTTGTTATAATAACCTCATAAGACACGTACAGGAGAGGCTATCTCAATTCACTTCCACAGCCAACCTACCAAAATGGCTGAGTTCCATTTCTTCTGTAAAACATGCAGGCCGATGCCCAGGGCTTGCCGAACCTATCAGAAAGTAGTTACTAAACTAGTCTTGTCCCTACCCAGTTGAGTTTCATAATAATCAAGAGACAACTGTGTGTATTTCCCAATCTGTTTTTGCCAATTCTGTCACAGTGAATTATGTAATTTAATTAAAAATGGTATAAACAAATGACAATGGAATGTGAAAAGAAAATAGTTGCTATTTCTATGAAAACTAAGTTGAACGTTCTGGAAAGACTCTTGAGAACTAAAACAAATTATTAGTAACTTAGATAAGGGCAAGACAGCTACGAAGATTGGGAGACATTTTAAAATCTAGATAAATTTTCACTTAGATAGTATCACTCAAACTGAAAATTATAAGCAATGAATCACAGGTATTATTAATACCAGAAGATGACACAAAATTCCAGTCAGTAGGTTCCCAAGAGTCTTGGACCTACATCAAAAGATTGACGAATGAGTATTTAAATGCTTTATGCTATAATATAATGTTTAAGGTAAACATGCATTGTTTTATGCTTTTCTACTTTAACCAACTTTTTCTATTAACCAACAAACCTTATGTCCCAGTATAATGGAGGTTAAGTAGGTTAAGTACTGTAGATGAGTCTCTTCATCTGTAAAATGAAGATAATTCCTACTCAAGGCTGTTCTGAGGATTAAATAAAATCATTCATATAAAGGAATACCTGCCACATAGTAAGCACACATCACTCACTAGCTAACACTGATATATATGCTTGTGAAGATAGTAACATCATGGTTAAAAGTAATGGCAAGGGACCAGTCTGCCTGGATTCACATCCAGGCTCAATTACTTACCAGTTCTGTGACCTTAGGGGAAGCTACTTAACCTCTCTGTGCCTCAAATCCCTCATCAGTACTATGTACGCAATAATAGCTTCAACTCCACAGGATTATTGTGAGGATTCAATGAATTAATAAACGTAAAGTACCTGAGACATAATAAATTTTAGCCACTATTCCTTTGTACATTATTGGCTTCTCAGCAAGATAGAAAATTGCCATATCTCAGAACATCCAGATATTTGTTACTACCATGGTCCCTTTGGCTCTACGTTTCTCACTCTCTAAAATGAAGTCAGGACTCAAGCAATTTATTTTAGTACAGACAGATTACCAGTGCCATCTAGTGGTAAACTGCTAATAAATTCATCAAAAGAGGAATGTTGCCCATAACGAGGGAAAAAATCTACAGATATGAATTTAATTTTTTAAGACAAACTAGATTTAATGTAGTTATTTTTAAATTTGTGACTTTTTTAATTTTTACTTTTTAAATTTTTTTTAGGAAGATCAGCCCTGAGCTAACAAATGCTGCCAATCCTCCTCTTTTTGCTGAGAAAGATTGGCCCCGGGCTAACATCCGTGCCCATCTTCCTCTACTTTATATGTGGGACACCTGCCACAGCATGGTTTGACAAGCGATGCATAGGTCTGCACCCAGGATCCAAACCTGGGAACCCTGGGCCGCCGAAGCAGAATGTGTGAACTTAACTGTTGTGCCACCAGGCTGGCCCCTGTGACATGTTTTTAATAACTACATGAATGTAGTACAAATACAAGTGGGAGAAATTTTAAAAACTGCAAACTGCAAGATGATTGCTTAGCAAACACAGTGCAAAAAAGAGATTATTTTTTTGCATGAGCCAAACAATTGGGTTTAAACCCACTGCCAAAATTTTTTGGACAGATTTGTGATGTTAACAAAGCCCTGATGTTTCCTAGAACTTAATTTCCTATGATATAAAATGAGAGTGTTGCATGTGTTGAATTCCTTTTCCAGTTATAAAAATAAGTGATTAATCACTACACTGGTTTCAACATGATGTATCTACAGTATTATCTGTCAGAAGCATTTTTCTCAAGGGGAAACCTTGATGACCTCTAACATCCTTCCAAACTTTTTTTTTTTTAACGCAGCCATATTGGAGGAAAAGAATCTGAAATGTGAATTTTTGGTGTGATTTAAACAAAACAAAAGTTGTAATATATACCAAGATATTAAGTTCTATTGTTGGATAAATTAAATACTGATGCCGTACAAAGATCTCACATCAAGAGCTTTACTTTCTGCAAATCCAAACTTAACAGAAGACCTCAAAACTGCACAAAACTACTGTAATCTATACTATACTGGCAGTCCTTGCTTTGTTCAGTTGAAATATGCATGAATTTCAGAGCCACAATTTAGTTAAATAAATACCAGTCCTCCAACAACAGTTCAAATTTCAGTTATCATCGTATTTTAACTGTGAGTAATTATATAAGAGCTATTGGCTCTTTGGGCCACAAACCACTACGTAAATAACAGATGGACATCAAGATCAGTGACTATGTCACTTCTTTCAAAATCCGTCCATCACTGGTCACTGCGCATTTGTTATTCAGTTCAAACAGAGACAGCAAATCGAGTTGCCTCCTTGTACCCCAGTGATAAACTCACATGCTATTTCAAAAAACCGGATAATGGGCAGAGGAACTTAGCCTATAAAGATGAAAGTGCAGCAAAGAAACGAAATGTGATGAGGTTGGAAGTGAAATTGGATGCGAACAGAAGATCTGAAAATGGCGACAGTGAAGTAGATAGGGGATATCTAGGCCAGCATGAAAGTAAGAACCATGAATGTAAAAAATAAGATAAAGTCACTTCAGTAGGATTCTAACTGACTGTAAATGGATCGTACAAGAAATAGGTGACCCTGGAATGTTGACCCTGAGCCCTTTGGAGCGATGTAGCTACGCAGCCATAGGAACTTAGTGAAGGTGAGCTGTTGACATAAACGAGGAAAATTATTGTGACAAAAAGAATGCCAACGTCCCAGAGGAACTGACACCAGCATAAAACTTCAGATATTAGAAATTCGCAGAGATATTTCACAACATTGGAAGTACAAAGGACAAAATGAAAGCTGTTCCTAACTTAGAAAGGAACATGACAATTTAATTCAGCAAGGTACAGAAAAACGCTTGCTCCATATTATGTTCTACGAGAAGAAGGCAAGTACTGTTCAGACTCCTCTTGACAAGTTTTTTGCAAAGAAATAAAACACTTTAATTCTCAATGTTTCTAATGTTTTAAATTACAATGTACCAAATAAGTGTTAGTTTTACTATCTTTTCATTCCTTTATACATTTAAAAACTACAGTAAGTGAGCTTTTATTGTTTTGAGAAAACATTTTAAAGGTCACAGAACAATTATTATTTTTCCCATTGATTATTAAGATTGCTTTGCCCAGTTTCAGCTTACACAGTCCTTTTTACGGTCTTACACTATGGTACAATGCAAGGACGACATGCATTGCCAATGCCTAAGTTTTTCTTTCACAACTTTCAGTCAATATAAACATAAGTCATTCAGAAATTGTCACCTATTACATGCTAGTATAATAGCTAGTCCCCTTCTGAACATATTTTATAAATTACTTGAAGTATCATGATATAATGTTGAAAGATGCCCTCTTTCCTAACCAAACCAGACAAACAGAAGAGCGTTACGTACCTGGCAGTGGCAACTGAACTAATATACCACTGACTCTCGGGTCCATGTTCAACTGATCAGTCATATCCAAAAGTTCTTCCTGAGAAACATCCTTAGGTTTTAGAATGATCTCACTACAGATACCTGGAAGGAAAATAAGTACAGAGAGTCACTTGACTAACAAAGATGTGGTTTTTCATTAGTGGTGTCTTACACAGTGTGTGGCCGGTTTCCTCTGCTCCTGTCCCACTGGAAGGACAGGCCCTTCTACAAAAACGATGCTCAAAGCATCATCTGGAAGGACTTCTCAAACAGCACACATGCTTTCTCATAATTCACATGCATTCTTCGGCCCAGTGTCTCATGTGGCAAATTCCATTTATTTGTGACAAGCTACTGTTAGTGGATTCTAATAGAATAAAAATGCCAATACCACCACCACCACTATTAGGCCAAGTTCACAGAGTGAACTAGCCAGGTTTATTATCTGATTAAAGCAAATGTAATAAAAACTGGCCCTTTAAATGTAAAATGTTCCTCTCACATCTCACCATAGGATCTGAAATCCCACTGAACAGATTCAATAAGAAATCTGAAGAGAAAGAGTAAGAAATGATTATAAACTTTGGTAACTGAATAATCTCTAATAATAATAACATGTTATTTGAACAGCACTTGTTTGACAATTATCACTCATAATTACCACACTTTGAAGTAAAGCCAGAAAAAATTTAGTAATAAGTACAACTAAAACACATCCCTACCTACAGCAGAGGCGGCTCTGATCTTCCTTCTGACATAAGTGTGACTTGCTGGGTTATCACCCACTAAAATGATACTGAGGTGAGGTCTTCTGTTCCCAAGGGAAATCCATGACTCCACACCTCGCTGGATTTCTTTCTGGATTTGTTTGGCCATTTCAGTTCCTGAGATAATAATGGCATCATGTCTGTGGAAAACAAAAGAATAAATTTAGTACTAAAAAGACAATAAGGAACATTCAACCACCTATATTTAAAGTAGAAGAGTGAACAAAACATCTATGGTTCTCCAAGTGAGCAACCAAAATTTGATTTTTTTTTCATGTATACTTGACACCCATTCTTCAGTTTCATAAATACGTTAGTGATTTTGTGGATTCCAACTCTGCTTTTTAGTTCTATATTATACTTATCTATAGTGTACATTTCTTCAGAACTTTCATATACACATATACATTTTTTTTAAATTACCAAACCACATACTGAAGACCCGGACGATAATAGTGGCTGTATTAAAGGCTCTGCTATTTTTTCAGAAGAGGCAGACCAGCACAGTCTATGTAAAACCAGCACCCATCTTCAAAGCCCAGCGCCATGCTGTATACACGTGGCCGCAGTCTTGGGACCCTAAGGTTAAGTTAGTTCACTCTTTAGTTAGTGCATCCTGCACAAGACCCTGAAGTCATGAGCTCTGTACTACTCAACTCTTTTAACTTACTCAAGGAAAAATTTCATTCCACACCTCCAGGACAACTCTGTGACAACAGCTGCCAGTCTTGCCATGCTTGTCATTCATTACTGTGGGGACCAGTTCAGTAAGCTGATGGCTTAGCTGCTCCCCACACCTCGGCATCGTTTCTAATAGAAAAACTGCTCAGAACATCATTTCCCGGCAGTTTATAAGTGCTTAAGAAAGTAAGAAATGCTATACTTTAATAAATGACATAAATCTATCTTTGGAAAGGCACAAAGAAATGCATAGTGGGAAGGCTTTCCTACTCTCCATGATATGAAACTTAAAAGTGGTGAACTAATGTTGCTCTGTGTGTTTATTTTTTAAAGATATCTGATAAAGTATTTGATGGTTCCTTTTTCCTGCTGATCCTGTCCTCTCAATGTTGAAAGGCTTGGTGAAAGCATGATCTATAGCACATGATTATTACACAAAATGCCAAATGCAGGTCAATGAATACGCAAAGAAGAGGAAAAGGAGGAGGAGGAGGAGGAAGAAGCAGAAGAGGAAAAGGAGGAAAGGAAAACCTTATGGCACCCTAATTCTTTCTAGTCCCTGTACACTCTTTATTTTCTAATGAGGGCAGGCACCATGAATATCAGCCAACACAAACAAAACGCAGACTTGCACTCCTTCCAAATAGGTCAGCCGCCCTCTCTAACAGGTTTGTGTACATATACGTAGAACCCGATCAAGAATACTCTATTTCAGCTTGGCAGCAGCGGTCCACAGTGTTCATCCAAGTTCATACAACTTTGATGTAAACAATTTTCTGGTAAGAAGGGATTCCAAAATGTGGTCTATGGATACATACACGAAAATTGCCTGGGAAGCTTGCTGAACTTGCAGATTCCCAGACCCCACAACCATATCCACGATTCAGAATCCCTAGGGGTGGGGGAAGCCTGTGAATCTGCACATCTAACAAATTCCCACAGGTATTCTTGTGCATGACCGTCTCTGAAAACTACTTCTTCAGTTCAACACAAAAGTATATTTTAATAATAATCATAACCATGGGTAAACAACTAACTGAGCAAGTAAACTGACTGGCTAGACAATACAACTAAACAATTATACGTAAACTTCTAATTTATAAGAAAGTATAATTAAAAGAAAACTCTACTTTTGATTCTAATTTTTTCTACTTTCCACTAAAACTTTAACAGCTTTCAAGACATGGAAGGTCATGGTAAATTCAGTGTTATCAATCTTGCTCCACTGCCCTAATTTTGTAATAGATTTGAATTAATATTGATATAATATTAACAAGATATTGAAGTATAATTGACATAAAATAAACTGCACATATTTAAAATGTACAATTTGATGCTCCGATATATGTATATACCTGGGAAACCATCAACACAATCAAGAAAATGAACATATCCATCACCCCTAAAGTTTCCTGATACTCCTTTATAATCTCACCATTTCACCTGTCCCTGTCATGCTCTCCCTCCATCCCCAGGTAATCAGTGATCTGCTTTCCTTCACTATATATTAGTTTATATTATCATGAATTTCATAAAAATGGAATCATGCACACTAAATACGCCTTTTTACCCAGCTAATTTCACTCAGCATAATTATGATTCATTCCTGTTGTTGCCTGTATCAATAGTTCATTTCCTTTTATTGCTGAGTAATTTTCCATTGTAAGGCTATATCAAAATTTATCCATTCAATTGTTGATGGATATTTGGGTTGTTTCCAGTTTTTAGTCATGACAAGTGCTGCTGCTTTTATAAACATTCACGTACAAGTCATTGTATGCACATATGCTTTCATTTCTCTTAATCAAATACCTAGGAGTGCAATGGCTGGGTCATATGGTAGGTATGTGTTTAAATTTGTGAGAAATTGCTAATCTGTTTTCCAAAGTGGTTGTACCATTTTACATTTCTACTAGCAGTATGTAAGAGTTCCAGTTGCTCCACATACTTATCATCACTTGGTAAGGTCAGCCTTTAAGTTTTAGACATTTTAGTGGCTATGTGACGGTATCTCATTGTGCTTTTAATTTGCATTCCCTTAATGAATAATGATGCTGAGCATCTTCTCCTGTGTTTATATACCATCTGCCTGCCTTCTTTGGGGGAATTGTGTAATTTAATCTTTTGCCATTGTTTAATAGGTTCTTTCCTTATTATCGAGTTTTGAGAGTTCTTCATATATCCTAGATTTAAGTCCTCTATCAGATATGTGATTTGAAATATTTTTCTCCCAGTCTGTGTTTTGCCTTTTCATTCTCTTAGCTAAGCTTTGGAAGATCAGTTCTCAATTTTGACATATTTCAATCAATTTCCCTTTTATGGATCATGCTTTTGGTGTTGTGTATAAGAAATCTTTGCCTAATTAAAGGTGACAAAGGTTTTCTCCAATGTTTCCTTCTAGAAGTTTCATGGGTTCGGGTTATACACTTAGTTCTATGATTTAGTTTTATTCCTAGTTTGATGAGACTTTTTATAAGAATATTGTCAAATGCTTCTTCTGTATCTATTGAGGTGATCATATATCGTATTTTTTTGTTTGTTTGTTTTAGTCTTTCAATATGGTGAATTACACTGATTGATTTTCAAACATTAGACCAATCTTGTATTCCTAGGATAAACCTCACTTGCTCATGACATATCTGTCCTTTCCAGATATTGTGGATTTCATCTAAAATTTTGTTAACTTTTTGCATCTGTGTGCATGAGAGGTGTTTCTCTGCAGTTTTCTTCTCTTGAATGTTTTTGTATGGTTTTGGTATCAGGGTGATGCTGCCCTCATAGAATGAGTTAGGAAGTACCTCATTCTCTTCAAATTTCCAGAAGAGTCTGTATGGAATTATTATTATTTCTTATTATTTCTTCCTTAAATGTTTGGTAGAATTCACCCGTGAAGCCATCTGGTCCTGGAGCTTTCTTTGTAGGATGGTTTAAAACTACACATTCCAATTCTTTAATATAGAGGGCTGTTTGGGTTATCTATTATTTTTTGAGTGAGCTTTTGTAGTTTGTGTTTTTGTACATTCTAATAATTAGTACATAATTACAATTATAGACTAAATCAAGTTGAGATGAAATATACTTACTTCTGAGTTTAAATTTTATTTTCCAGGATTAAGTAACAAGCTTTTTTCACTATTTAATATGAATTTCGGATGCCCAATTTTTATTAATTCACTTAGGTGGCCTTTTAATGCTAAGAGAACAAAGACCTCCTATATTAGCAAATACCAACTGCAGATATGGCAACTGATTCCAGCATGAATTATTTCTAAGAGGTAGTAAAAATAAATACTTTCCATAAATTAAGTTGTGTCAGCAATATTCAGTTAGGGCAAAATACTCTACTAGAGAAGCAAGTTTACCTGCTAATATATTAGCACTCACTCTTACAGTGGAGAACATACATTTGTATTTTAAAATACAAAACCACCTGAACTCCATGTTGCATTTTACAGCATATGAATAGCAGTGTTGCTGCTGATACGTTTTATTAGTTGGTTCTCTGCTACACACAGTAATTTGTTCATAGGCTACTGTGAAACTGGCAATCACTAAACATAAGCCAGGATAATTATGGCCTAGACACTACGAAACTGTGTGACCCCGAGAATGTCATAGATGACAATGGCATAAACTGATTCCTGGCTTCCAAAGAGACACTCTATATACAGATTAAACTTGACTGCACCCAGTATGCTGGAGTCTGAGAGAGTGACAGGGCTTACTTTACATTATAGCTCTGATGTGCTAAGTCATGTTGCTCATTATAGCTGGCATGATATAGCCTGGCCTAGCTGGTGTTTATGGGTAAACACCCATATGACAGTCACCCAATTACGAATAGGGACTTTGAGGATTTCCCATAGCAGCTGGCCCATCCTATTGATTCCCGCAGTCACTGCAGACCTCAGCAAGCCTGGTTCTGTGGGAGATACAATATAAGGATAAATCAGGCAACCTGGAATTAGTGGAGGCCCAATGGGAGGATGCCTGTATCAGTCCACATGCTGGAAGAAGTGGTAAACACACGTATTATCTAGCTCACGTAGTCCTTAGTGCATAAACAAATGAGATCTTTTAACATGCATATTCTTGACAAATGTTAAATATCAGCAACAATTCAGATGTTCAGTCAGAAGCACACGGCTCCTAAGAGTGCTCCTTGGCTGCAGAGTTGATCTCTGCTAATCCATTTTCCACATTACAGCCAGAGTGATTTTCTAAATTTACTCATGTCAGTTTCCTGGTTAAAACTCCTCACTACACGCCCATTATTTAATAACTTAGTAGATACATATTGAGAAACTTCTCTGTGCCAGGTGCTATTCTAGGCACCAGGAATATAAATAATAGTGTATAAAACAAATTGTCTGCTTCTATAGAAACTATACTTTAGCTAAAGAAGACACAAGCAATTTTTTGTGTGTATGTGAGGAAGATTGGCTCTGAGCTAACATCT